AAAGCGATTTTGTCATATCAATTTATTTGGGAAATATTAAATAAAATAATATACACATCAAAATAATCTAGGGACAAAAACAAAATGCGAGATTACAGAAGGACTTCAAATATTTTTAATAAAAAGTTATAAAGAAGTGTACCGAATATAAAATAAACATATTTTCTTAGAATAATCGCAATAGCTCTTAATAAAATTAAATGAGAACTAATAAGTCAAAAAATGGCAAAAAAAAATAAATTTGTTACCCCTCAACTCCCAACAAAGTAGTCTTTAGGTTAATATGACCTCCACGGTTGTTGATTACTGTCCTACATCTGTAAGGCAAACTCATGATAAGATGGTCAATGTTTTGCTGCGGTATTCTGTTCCACTCCATTCAAAGGCCCTCAAATCTGGCGATTGTGCAGCCCATGGTAAAACCTCAATTTTATTATCTTCAAGGAATGTTTGCACGACCCTAGCAGTATGCGGCGGGCATTGTCGTGCATTAATTAAAATTGAGCACCAGTTTGCTGTGCAAAGGGTACAACAATAGGTTCGAGAATAATATCACGGTAGTCTGTTGCATTTATAAAACCGTTCCAGACAAACGCGGTTGGTTCTTCCACCAAGACTGATGCCACACCATACCATTATACTGCCGCCTTGCTATCTATGAACCTCCTGCACGGTGGCCAATCGTTCAGCATTGTCAGATCGTCTCCAAAGGCTTATCCGTCTTGTATCTGGTGCAAATCCAAATCGGAACTCATCTATAAACGAAGTAGAGACTCACTAACGTCTAACCCAATTTGCGTGTTTTTTTGCCCACTGAAATCGATGAGCGTGATTTCCTCTAGATAATACAGGCACTTTCACAGGTCTGCGAGCATTTAACCCTACTTTATGAAGTATATTTCTAATTCAAAGGACCACTTACAAATACCTGCACTAGTTACAATGCAATCTCGCAAAGCCTGCAACCTAATAAACGGCCTTCAATCTGGTTGGTTATTCTTGTACGGCCTGTATGATGTTCAGCAGCATCGATTACTACAAACGTTAACCACAAACGATTAATGACACTTCTGTTCTTGGGGAGGGCCTCAGCAACGTCTCTTTGGCTTCTGTCAGCTTGAAGCATCCCGATAGCACGCCACTGCGTTTCGCGATTTAAATAATGTGACTCCATTATTGTCAATTGCAAAACTAAATAAAAATAAACAGATCTCGAAAATCAAGTACCAATAAAGAAATATAACTTTTTATCTTATAGACAAAAAACACATTTTAAAGTTTTGTTAAATTTTTTATAGTCGTTCTTATCAGCATATATAATCGAGAAAACAACACAAAAGATTAAAAACATAAATTTATTTTGGTATTTGCAGCTAACATTGATTTAAAGCTATTAATATGTGGCCACTAGATTATTTGAATGTGTGTATAATCTTTGCTGTTGACGATTATGTTTCATTCATCCAAGTTTGGGGGCGATTTCTCCTCCCCAAGATAAGAGAGCACGTCACTCGTAGAGTGATGTTAATGCTTACATACCGGCATATACTCTGTCCCCATCTGCATTAGACTCTAAAGTTATCTATTTAAATATCATCTACTACGTGGAGGTGCTGGTTGGGAATTTGCCTTAATTGAAATAAAGACTACATAGGCATTTCTTGATGCAATCCAGTACTCTTAAGAGACCATGCAAATCAACACTTCATCAAACTTTTACAATATTTCAATATTAACGGATACCTTCGCTTATTTATTCCTTCAACTCTCATTCACCACCTCCCTTCTGATGGGTATAGCATTCATCATAGCATTAGTTAATATCTTGTGAACTGGGGACATGAAAGGAGCCTCCATGTAGACTATTTTCAAAGACTTTTTCTTCTTGATGTTTAAACCAGTCAGTCGATCCTTGAAAACAACGCAGTTAGCTAATCCTTTCGCCATCGGATCACCAGAGAAAATGAGAAGGCTATAGTAAAATTGATAAGCTGGGAATATTATTGTTGTAATTTCTTTACTATCGATGTCGCGGTTTCTTTATACAGTGCTTTTCAGATAAAACTATTCACCTTAAATAACTTTTGAACTTCTAATTTTATGGAAAAACGCAAAAACACTTCAATTAATATTTGAAGGGGGAGACATTATATCATATTTAAGGTTGCTATGAGATGCACCCTCTCACCCCCTGTATCATCCCTTTAATTTTTTGAAATACGTACCTCTTTTTAAATTCATATTTGGATTCTTCTTTTTGCACTGATTTCAAAAATGTATAATACCTTTGGCTTGAAGTGATTAGTTTATGAGATAGACAATTTTCCTATTAACAAGATAGTATCTCTCTCACCTTAATTGACTGCAACAAAATAGGTTGTTGCATAATTTAAACTTTTTAAATATTTAACTGTACTATTTGTAGTACCTTCAAAAACCAAAGAACAAAAATAGGTTGTAGCATAATTTAAACTTTTTAAATATTTAACCGTACTTTATAGTACCTTCAAAAACCAAGGAACAAAAAAATTCACTTTTTATTAAAGTTTTATCAAAGGTTTTCGATATTATTTTTATATTTATTTTAGTCGGTTAATAGCCAACGACAATTTGTTATAACTTGTAAGTAACAGCCTATTTTGATACGTGTGCAATTTGATCGCTGACATGGTGTACGCTTTGCAAGAAAGAATCGAAATTGCAGGTTTATACTACAAACATAATAATTGTCCAAGAGCTGCTGCTAGAATTTTTAATGAAACACACCACAATGACATGTAACTCATAAGTATGTGATTGAACTGATGCAAAAATTTAGACGAAGAGGGTCATTTTGCAATAAAAAAACATAACTGATAGGGACTTGTAGATAACGAAGCAATCCAAGTAGCTCTTTTAGGACAAGTTATCACAGACACAACGGCAACAATAAGCAGAGTACTCGGTGTTTCATCTTCTACAGCCTTCCGAGGCCTTCGTAAATTTAAGTTTCATCCATATAAAATTAAATTAGTACAAGAGTTAAATGAAGATTTTGATCGTCGTCCCGAATTTTGCGAATTAATGATACTATGCATCATTAACAATCCACAGAACAATATTTGCTTCTCGGATGAATGCTCATTCTCATTAAACGGTTTAAGAAACATATATAATTGCCGATACTGGGCTAAGAGTGATCCACATTGTACGCGAATTTCACACACAGCATCCTCAAAAGTTAAACGTATGGTGTGGTATCCTACGTGATCACATTATCGGACCCTTCTTTATCACTGGAAATTTAAATGGTGCATCGTATCTTGAATTCTTTAGGCAAGTGGTTGATCGTATTAGAACAATAGTAGAAAATGATGATAACCTCTCCGAAGATTTGGTTATATTTCAACATGGTGGAGTTTCTCCACACTTTGCTTTACCTGTGCGATAATTTTTAAACGAAACGTTTAAAGATGATGAATTACAGATGGATAGATGATTACAGATGATGAATTGGCCACTTAGGTCACCGGATTGAACACCCCTAGACTTCTTCTTATGAGGGTATTTAAAAACAAAAATTTATGCTACTCAACCAGAATCTATTTATGATTTACGACAAAGAACAGAGGATGAATGTTGACAATAAATGTAGACGTGTTAAGCAATATCAGAGAAGAATTTCAAAATAGACTGTACTATTGTATGGAAGTGAATGGCAGTCATTTTGAACAATTATTGTAAAAATTTTTGGTAGTGAAATGTTCATTCTAAATGTGTGTAACAAAATTGTTAAAAAAATTTTTTTTTTCAATCCAATTTTCTTGCTTTTGTATTTATTTTTCTCATAAACTAATCACTTCAAGCATCATGTATTATACATTTCTGAAATCAGCACAAAGAGGAGAATCCAAATACCAAATAAAAGAAGGCGGAAGTAATTAAAAAAATAAAAGGGATGATACGGTGAGTAAAAGGGTGCATTTCTCAGCAAGCTTAAATATGATATAATGTCTCCACCTTCAAATATTAATTGACGTGTTTTTGGGTTTTTCCGTAAACCAAAGGTTCATAAATTATTTAAGGTGGATAGTTTTATCAGAAAAGCACTGTACTACTATTCTGTCTTGTGTACGCCAAATTTTAACCTTCGTATTGTATCACGTTTTGTACTTTTGAAGCCACTTGTATGCTTCATTTTTCAGATTAGGTATTTAGAATTGGGTTCTTTATCAGTCCTCCTCCAATACCTACTTTTTGATTTTGTTTTTGATTTTTTTGTTTTTGATTTTGATACTTTTTGATTGACCTAGCTTTATTGACCCAGATTGGACCGAATTTTTTTTTAAATATTTGAAATACTTAAATTTATAAATGCTTTTTGAAAAAGAAGTGCTTTTAAAAGCCAGGTGGCATATTCAATGGCTATGATAACCAAAAAATTAAAAGTGCCAACAATTAAAATCTTAAATCTTTTTATTTGTATTAAAAAATATCTAGTTTGTATATTTTTAAAAAAACATTGTTTTGTATGTAGGTACTGCTACATTACGTTTATAGCAGTAAAAATAACATTTTTTGTGACCAAAGAGTTTGTGTGTCAATAAGGTGGTCTATTCGTTTCTATCTTAAGTGACTATGCAAGTTGACTGACGATGGTTTGTTGGATCCTCTTTTATTGTATTTTGTAAAGGATCGCATGGCATTTTAGTTAGATCTCGTCTATTACCTCAGTTAAAGTCAAAGGTTTCGTCCATTTCATAAAAAGGTGTTCATACTTTTACATAACATAAGGTTAGTTTGCAAACAAAGATATTCCTACTAGCAATACATTTTCTAAGAAGCTAATTCATTTGTAATGGAGGTATTGGCATAGGTTTTGGTTTATTTTATAGCAGATTAGTTTGTGAACGTACCTCGTATATTTCGAAACAGGTGGTTTCTTTAATACAGTGAGACTACACCAGGGTGCGCGTGATATTTGATAATATTTTTAATAAAACATAACCTCAGACGTAGACATTTTTGTTATTGAAATATACTTGAAAGTCAAATTACGCACAGATATACATATGTATATCTTCATATAGATAATAATTTTAGGCTGGGTTATCTATAAACCACAAACTTAATTTCCTTTTAATTTCAACCGTTCTGACCGCCACTTGCAAGGACTATTTAACTATTAATTTATTGTTTGAATTTAATCCCTAACAATTAACAATGTTCAGAAGACAGCCCATGAGTGAATTTGAAGGTATATGATTAAATGATCGTTAAGTAGCCGAAGACAATACTGTATTTTTCTTTTCAGAATCAAAAAGCGCCGAATTATGTCTCTCACTATACAGAGACTCCCTAAAATCAAAAGATATGGACCATGATGGGACTCATTTTGATGGTCAATATCCTCACGTCTTCGTAATACTAGGGGCCTCCGTAAGTAATTTTTTTGTAATATATCCATAATTACTTTGATATTCCAATTAAATTGACTCCATATGGTGGCTTGAATAACTCAAAACTTGAGAAAACTGTTTCAAACCTAAGAGATGATAATTTAGTACTATCCCTGATAAGGAAACCTTAATGTAGGTCAAGAGAACAAGTTTACAATTTTTTTTTCTTTTGGATAAAATTACTGTGCAATATACTCACAGTTAAATCCACTTTCCAAATTATGGTAGATATATTTGTTTGAAACAAACATTGTATAATCTGTTAAAACTGTTGGCTAGAACCTTTACTGTCTTTATATAAAAATGTTCAATTTTTGCCAGATTGCAGGTGGCATATTTGCCAAATGTGTACCCTGCCAAGCTGTAATAGTACCACAGATTCATTAGATTGATGTATCTCTCCTGTTGCTGTTTCAATTGTCTTCCATTTCTATCTCCCTGTAAAGGTTTCATGTACTTATTTGGTTTTTGTTTCAGGGAGATTTAGCAAAAAAGAAAATCTATCCTACATTATGGTGGTTGTATAGAGACAATGTCCTACCAGTTAATACAATATTTTATGGTTATGCCAGAAGTAAAATTACTCTGAGTGAAGTCAGACAAAAATGTTCACCATGGATGGATGTGAAACCTGCAGAAAAAGAAAAGTATGAAGAATTTTGGAAACTTAATCATTACATGTCTGGACAGTATACATCCAGGACTGATTTTGAACTATTGAACAAGGAGATAGAAAAATTTGAAAAGGGACCAGTTGCGAATAGATTGTTCTATTTGGCTTTACCACCCACAGTGTATGAAGATGTGACAGTGCATATAAAAAACAACTGTATGGGGCAAAAGTGAGTAACTGACCTTTAAATATTCTTTACTTAATTTGACTCCTTTTTTAAGACCTGTGCTAAATATACATATTTTGTTTTGATGAAGGTATTTTATACTTCACAATTTATACAAGGCGAATTATAACTATTAGGTCATAGACTAAATTTAGACAAAATATGCCTCAATAAAATAAAATAGTACTACAAAAAAAGATACAGGGCATTGAAATTTTTTTTTTTCCTTTTTTGGTAATCATTTTATTTTATATTTATATATTTTTACCAAAATAGGCAAAAAGGGCATAACTTTCAACAAGGAATATTATATTAGTTAATATTATATTTTACATTTTATTATAGAGTCCCCATTTGGATGATGACTGATGATAAAGTTGTTTTAAAATTTTTTGACAAAACTTTTTAGTGATTCTTATTAAAAATATGACATAAATGTTATTTTTACCTGCTGTTGAACATAAAGTGTTTATTTTATCCATAAATCAGAATTATAAACAATTGAATTGAACACAGCACACTCAAAATAAGTGTTAAACATGATCTTCTCTGACTTCTCTTTCAAAATCTTTTGATAAAGGAAGTTTGGATTTAAAAAATTATGTATAAGTTTGTCTTTAGTATTAGTTTTATTTACATACACTAAGAAGTTCAGATATCCCAAAAATAAAAATCAAGCAATTATACTTCTTGGTGATCATTCAAAAGCACTTTCTGTACCAATCCATTGTTGAGGAAATATATCATTAAATATATTTTGAATTGCAATCATTTTGCAAAAAATAATAAATATTCACCATTTAAACTTGGAGGAAGAACACATGGGCCTAGTAGTTGCTTGCATATATTTCAATACCAAATATTCAGTTTAAACTCATTTTGAAAATTTATATCTTGAATAATATGTATGTTTTCTTTTTCCCAGTAGTGGTTGTTTCACCAATTATCATCACCCTAATTTGATAAAAGTCATTCATCAGACATAATATTCTTAATAAAATATATATCAGCATTATGCTTGTACAGAATAGAATACTTTAGCAGTATTGTGACTGTCAAGGAAGATCTCTTGGAAGCAAATTTTGAATGTGAGTAAAGTGACAAGGGTGGAATTTTTCTTTTTTTACAATTTGAATAATGACAATTTAATGTGTGACTTACTTCTGATAGCTGATGTAAACTTACTTCAAGATTTTCATCTAGTCAAACCAAAATTGCATTATCTTCATTAGGTGTGATTTATTTCCATTGATTCCCTCTATTTTTAGTGTGAAATGTTCCTTTATCACTTAAACCATAAAATAAATTTGAAAATTTTGTGACTTGGTTGCCCTTTGCCTGCATATAGTAATCCATAGCGCCTGGCTGCTGAGTGACTACAATAATATTCTTGTGCATATACACAAATTATATCCCTCATTTCTTCATTTGTAAAATTATTGTGGAATTGCAATTGAAATAATATTGACAGGTTCTATTTTATTAAATATTGATAGATCAAACATACTGTAATTGATGTGAGAATTAGCATATATAAAATGAATAAAATGAGTGTAATGATCTCGTCATTAACTTAAAATATATACCTACTTACTCCACAAAATCGAACTGTGAGGTAATGGTATAATTCTCATTGCCAAATTTAAATTAAAATTAGAAAACTAGTTTTAAACAAAAATTTGTCAAATTTATCAACACTTGATATTTTATAAAACCAGTGTCATTAAGTAGCCTACGAAATGTGGTTTTTGAAAAAGCTGGTAGGTTCATCAGCATCCTTCACTCTGTTCATTATGCTGTCGAAGGGTGGTGGTACGTTTTCCAAAAAAAAAAATTAAGGACAATTTTCCTTTTTCGAGATTTGACTCCCTCATCGATAAGTATTCTAACATCTTCCTTTTTTGTACCGGTTTCAGTTCGCCTTGCTGGGCCCATTCGCGGATGTTATAAATTTTGCGAATACTCACATCGCACATTTTCGAAACTTTTCCGCAAGTAGTCAAGCTGTCACCATTTTTTTAAGTTCAGATGATGTTTAATACATTCAATACCACACGTTTTACTTGCATGCTAAGAATCATACTCTGTTTGAAATTCACGACAGATACTGGCAACGGCTCTATGATGTAGGTACTTTCATCCGCTTGCGAAAATGAAATAGAACTGAGCTTTTATAGTTGTTGTCAACAAGTTTTTGGTCTTATGACCAGTACTCAAATACACAAAGAGACATGTTTGCTTTGAGTGGACAATTGAGATTAAAACTGATTCGCTTCTCCTAATGACTTTATAATGATCTCTATTTCCTAAAGATGTGTTTACAATGGAAACTATTGAAAATTGATAAACATAGATAAGCTATCGACAATGAGTTTTTGATATATTTTACTTTTTTTATAGTATTTTTCTTCATGTTATTGTTTAGTTCGACAATGTAACTCTTTTATTTATACATCGATGATTGTATCATGCTTTAGTTGAAACAATAATGATAGTCTTTTATACAACTGTAGGCAATTGTTTTGTGTGCGTATATTCCAGTGCTTTGATTCTTAAATCTGGTCCTGATACGCCGCTCGGGCAAACCGGCAACACGGTCGGTCGTTCTCCCGTAAGAAATACATTGCCTGTCTTACCTGCATTGTATTCTAACATTGTACTTTATTATGGATATTCACGCTGCTTAATTTCATGATTTTAATTTCTGTGAGTAGAAAAGAGAAGTAATATAAAAAAATAATGTTTAATGTGCAAAGAAAGATCGAACCTTCGCATCGATGGTATCGATTCTTATTGGCATCGATTATATTTGTGATATTTGATTATTCAGTTACTGATAGGCAACCCGATATAAAATGGTTATTGAGATCATCTTTATTATTGATAAAGGCTGTGAAATTCCTCAAATATCGTATTTTTATGTAATTTCCGATATCTTGTATTTCATATTCATCTTTAATTACATTTAGACTGATAACGAAAAATAAAACACTTATCACCGGAATCTGATAGTGCTTTGAAGATTTATCAGCACTTTATATTGATATATAAATTAATATTTAAGTCTTAAGTGCTCTATAGTAAATACCAACTTTCATCCTTGTAAAGTATTTATCACAGAAATTTAAGATTCTTGTAGTAGGGGAGCAAAAATAAGTTGATTGGCACCTCTGTATAAACTTTAGTTTATCTCTTAATCTTCTTAAACTGAAATTTTACCATATTACTCTCGCTTTTTCTCGCGGAGGAACATTTTTCATCCTTCACAGCAATGTTTTCAATAGGACGTTCAGTGCAAACAATGCCTGTCTAGTTCCAAGTGCATTTCTACAACCAAACTACGTGTCTTCATGTTTTTCTGTTCATTTTTGACTGTGAAGTATTCGCAGATAAATTTTAAGGCTCTTCATACCAGGGGCGGATACACGGGAGGAATAGGGAAATTCCCCTCCCCATTCCCAAAAACGTCCAAAATTAAGAAACATTTTGAAAACAACAACAATCACTATCACAAATAATAACAAACAACTCAAGAGCTGATAATTCACTGAACGACACTGAAAACAATATGTTCAGTAATCATGATCACATTCTTAAATGCATTGTAATTATTACTTTAAAATTTAAAATGGCTATGAATATGGCGGAAAATAACTTATTTTTCGCGCATGCGTAGTCAAGGAGAATGGTGCATTCATTATATCAGTTGGCAGCCATAGGCGTAGATATAATTATTAAAATCTTTTTCTTCTTACGGTGAGTTACAGATGTTTACTGATAGCATGGCAATTCTAAATTTATTGACCGCAGCTCGAAATAGTCCTGAAGTGGTCAAGGAAAACCATTTTCTTAAGTACTGGAGCCAAGATATTCTTCTTCTTTCTGGTCCACTCTTTCTGTAGACCTCTCCCTGTAATATAAGTTGCATCAGGTTATATATATGTATATATATTTATATATATATATATATATATATAATATATAATATATATATATATATATATATATATATTTATATATATATATATATATATATATATATATATATATATATATATATATATGATCGTTTCGCATTATATGTCCAAGATATTCTAGTTTGCGCTGTTTCACTGTGGATATAATTTCACATGTTTTATCCATCCGACGTAGAACCTCAATGTTTGTTATTCGGTCCACCCAGGAGATCCTCAGTATCCGTCTATAACACCACATCTCAAACGCCTCGAGTTTTCTCATGAATGCCTCGTTTAGTGTTCATGATTCAACCTCATAGAGCAACTCTGTAAACAAGTAGAATCTCAATAAACTGATTTTGGTTTTTAAGGGTAGGCCGTGGTTCTTAAATATTTTGCTCATTCTGACAAACGCTGACCTGGCTTCTTCAATTCTTTATTTTATCTCAATTGAGTGGTCCCATTGGTCGTTTGTGGTGGTTCCTAAATAGTAGTAACGGGGCACTTGGAGTATTTGTTGCTGATCTACCAGTAATTGACTAGGTGGAATATGCTTCTTACTGATGACCATGTACTTTGTTTTCTTGCTGTTAAAATCAAGCCCGTATTCTTGACTGATTCTCCACTAGTGTCTGTAAACCTTCTAAACTGTCTGCAAAGAGGATGGTGTCGTCTGCATATCTGATGTTATTCAGGCGCTCACCATTTATGAGAATACCCACTTCGATATGCTCTAAGGCCTGGCTCATGACGTGTTCCGAATGGACGTTAAATAATAGGGGAAAGAGTATGCAGCCCTGTCGTACTCCTCTCTTTATTGCAACATCCTCTGTTAGTTGGTCTTTCACCCGAATGGTTGCTGATTGGCTGTATATGTTCTTGATTACTCGAAGGTCTTTGTTATCCAGATCAGTTGCCTTTAGTATATCCATGAGCTTATCGTGCTTGATTATGTCGAAAGCTTTCTGGTGGTCGATAAAGCATACATAAATATCGCAGTTGACGTCTCTGCACCTTTGAAATAATACCTGAACCACGAACAAGGCT